AAAGATCTCCTCTCTTGAAGACTCAAGAGATCTGTCCATAATGACTTTGTCAGAGCTTGTAAATGCTTTCCAAGCTACTAAACAAAGAAGGCTCATCAAACAGGAGGAGCTTTACTTGCTAAAGAAAAAAATAAAGCTCAATTAGGATCTGGAGGAAAGAAACAACAAAATGAGAAGAAAGATGGTGCAAGCAACAAAAGTGGAGGCAAAGATGGAAAAAACTCTCCTTGTCCTTGCCATAAAAAGAAGGGACATTCTCCAAAATGGTGCTGGTTCAAGCCTAGTGTTCAATGTAAGACTTGTAAACAATTTGGTCATGTTGAAAGATCTTTAAGAATAGAAACGACCAGCAAACTCAGCCACAAGCAAAAATTGCAGAAAATCAGCATCAACAATAGCAGGAGGAACATTTGTTCACTATTGTCAACTACAAAATCTGTTGCAATGATGGAACTTGGTTGCTGGATAGTGGATGCACTCATCATATAACTTCAAACTCTAGCATCTTTACTGAATTGAATGAATCATACAGATCAAGAGTCAAGGTTGGCAATGGAGAACATGTGGAGGTCAAAGGAATTGGTATGATTGCTGTGGAGACTCCACCAAGTACTAAACACATATCTAATGTACCTTATGTGCCTGACATAGATCAAAATCTAGTTAGTGTAGGCCAATTGCTAGAGAAAAACTACACCTTAATATTTAAGAATAAAGCTTGCACTATACTAGATGCAAATGATCATGAATTGATGTTTGTTATGATGAAGGATAGAAGCTTTCCTTTAGAATGGAAAAACATCACCACTCATGCATTTTCCAGTACGGTGGTTGAGTCTACCTTGTGGCACAAATGATTTGGCCATGCAAACTTCACCTCACTTAAGCACTTGCATAAACTTGATCTAGTAAAGAACATGCCTGATATAAATGATGATGCTTGAGTATGTGATGTTTGTCAATTTGGGAAGCAAACAAGACTGCCATTTCCCAAAAATTAGTCAAGAAGAGCTTCGTTTGTGGTCCATTGAGGACTCCTACTTTAAATGGCAGTAGATATATTGTTCTTTTTATTGATGACTTGACAAGAATGTGCTGGGTTTATTTATTAAAGTTGAAATCTGAAGTTGCATCCGTGTTTCAAAAATTTAAAAATTTTGTGGAGAATGAAAGTGGTTATAGGATTAAAGCCATTAGAACCGACAATGGAACTGAATACAGCTGTGATAAGTTTGACAGGTTCTGTGATGCCATGAGAATCAAGCACCAGTTGACTGTTCTATATTCTCCTTAGCAAAATGGTATGTGTGAGAGGAAGAATAGGACAGTGATGGAGATGGCTAAGTGTTTGATGTTTGAAAAAAAAAATCAAAAGAATTCTGGGCTGAAGCTGTTAACATGGCAATATATCTTCTCAATAGATTGTCCACAAAAGCCTTAGAAAAGAAAACTCCATTTGAAGCTTGGTATGGAGTCAAGCCTGATATTGAACACTTAAAAGTATTTGGTAGCATTTGTTTTATTCATATACTTGATGCAAAAAGGGATAAATTGAGTCAGAAGGCTGAGATTGGAATTTTGGTTGGGTATTTAACAATGCCAAGGGGTACAGCATCTACGATCCTCAAACCAAGAAGATGATAGCTAGCAGGGATATCAAAGTTGATGAAGAATCTTCATGGAATTAGGAGACAAGTTCAGTAGTTACGAAGCAAATTCAAGGAGTAATACCCCCAAGAAAAAAATGCCATTATTAGTGAGGATGAAGCAGAATCTGATTGTGGTTCAGATTCAAGAAATGCAGTGATTAGAACAAGATCACTTGCAGATGTGTACGCTAGCTGCAATTCAACCATGTTGGAACCTTCTAATTTTTTTAAAGCGGCAAGTTCACAAGATTGGATGGTAGCAATGAAGGAGGAGCTAGCCATGATTTAGAAAAATGATACTTCGGTGCTAGTTGATAGACCAATAAATAAAAATGTGATTGGAGTTAAATGGGTATACAGAACCAAGCTAAATCCAGATGGTTCAATTAATAAACTCAAGGCCAGATTGGTTGTAAAAATTCTCAACAGTATGGTGTTAATTTCCCAGATACCTTTGCTCTGGTAGCAAAGTATAAAACAATAAGGTTATTGATTGCTTTAACTGCTCAAAAAGGTTGGAAAATCCATCAATTGGATGTTAAGTCAGCTTTTTTAAATGGATATTTGCATGAAGAAATTTTTATTGAGCAACCAAAAGGCTTTCTTGTTGCAAAAAATGAAGACAAAGTGTACTTGCTTAAGAAAGCTTTGTATGGATTAAAACAGGCTCCGACGACCTAATATAGCATAATTGATGACCATCTTGATCACCTTGGTTTTACTAGAAGCTTGAATGAGCAAACTGATGTGATTTGGAATTTTGGTCCAATTTCTTATTTTTGGTAATTTAGATATTCTAGGACTCTATTTCCGGTTTTAATAGATTTCTAGGTATTCTAGAATTTTATTCCATTTAAACTTTATTCTAGATTATAGTATAAATAGGTTTATTTTTCTACATTGTATTAGAAGACTTTTATCATGAATTCAATGGAGATTTTCCTCTTGCAACTTTTGCTTCAAAATACCGAACTTATCAAGATTTAATATCTTGTGGCATTCAAACAAATTATCGGGTTAGATTCTTTGGGTTGTGTAATCAAAAAGTCCTTCGCATCGCCGTTATCGTTGGGTTTTTTGATTCGTTAATTCTTTGGGTCAAATCCACAAATCCGGAGGAGATTTCAAGATTGTGTGATTAAGAAGTCGTTTGTTTCATATATGTTCCGTTGCTTAGTTCACTTTTGCGGGTCGATTCCTAAACCTTTATTATTATTTGGGCGTTCTTGGGATTCGTTGTCAATTCCTATGGGTTCGATAGCAACCTTGCTAACCGGGTTCGCATCATTTGGTATCAGAGTTAGGGCACCAAGATCGAGGTTATATCTTTTTTTTTTTAGTCTTTGTTTTCTTGTTTTTGTGTTCTTCAAGTTTTTGTAAATTTTTTTTAGTTTGTTGAGTCTTAGATCCAAAATCTTTAATAATCTAGTTGTTTTTGTGTTTTGAAAAAAAATACTATTCATCCGTATGGTACAAAAAAATTGAGTCAAAAAAATGAAAAAAAAAAGGAGTCAAAAAAAAAGTAGTCAAAAAAATGTTAAATTCACGTCAAAGTCAATTCCAAATATTGAAAAGGATGATACAGAGGTTTGAGATGATGATTGAGAATATGGAAAATAAATTGGATAGATTGAATGTGAAATTGAAAAGTATTCATAGGAATCAATGTGATGAGGGATTCAATGTGAGTAGACGAAACCTAGGATGAAAAATTGTGATGCATATGGATATGGTTGTGGTATTAATGAAGTATAGGAATCGAGAAATAGAGGCGATAGACATGGGAGAAGGGACACAAATTATTATATGAGAGATTGGCGAAAAGTCGAATTTAGGGATAAGCCTATGAGATGAGATGATGTGGCAATGATTATCCAATGGAAAAGAAAACACCTAGTGCGAAGTGTGCGGGTAGTACATCAAGCAAGATGACTGGGGTGGATTATAAACAGGAATTCTCCAAGATTCTCAACACTCTTAGGTCTCAAATTAATCATCCAAAGGTGCATAAGAGTAAAAATAAAATAAGTGAGGTGGTTGATTGTGAGAAAACGGGAGAAGAACCACAAGAAAATTAAAAGGAGGTCAAAGGTAAAAATAAGAATGAAGAAGTGGTGCTACAACAAAATAAGGGAGAGTCTTCGGAGGTGGAAAAGGAGAGTGGAGTGGAGGAGGCATTGGCGATAACTAACACTTCCCTTCCCATTTTGAATAATTTTGTTTTGCAGGATAACGAAGATTCGATTCCAGAAATCAATCAGATTGGAATCCCTTACAACTCAGGTATTGATTATCAAATAGTAGATGACATTCAACAACAACAATGCTTCAATCTGGATATCTCTATAATACTGAAAATTGATTTTGTTATCCCTGAGGAGACTATGGAGATTCAAAGGCAGTGGAATGAATTTGTATGCAGTGGATTGAGCTACAAAGATGACATGTTGGGAAAAATGCATCCATTGGAAGTGCCATTGCCAAAATTTCCTAGGCCGAGTAAAGCAAGGTGAACGCAAGGTGAATCTTCAAATAAAATCATTCTTGGAGCATCACAAAATTGCAAAAGAAAATCGTCGGGGCGTACACATTTTGATCTATGTTATGGTGATTGGGTCTACATTCAAAAGAGGAGAGTTCGAGGTCAAAAGAGGTCCAAATTGCATCCGAGAGGTGATGGGGCATTTCATGTGCTTGAGTTGATTGAAAGTAAAGTCTATAACTTGGATCAGGATTCGAGGACGAATCCTCTTGAAAATGGAGGGCCTGATGTGATCCGAAGAAGTTTTATTTTGGTCCAATTTATTATTTTTAGCAATTTTGGTATTTTAGGACTCTATTTCGGGTTTTAATAGATTTCTAGATATTCTAGAATTTTATTCCATTTAAGCTTTATTCTAGGTTTTAGTATAAATAAGTTTATTTTTCTACATTGTATTAGAAGGCTTTTATCATAAATTGAATGGAGATATTCCTCTTGAAAATTTTTCTTCAAAATACCGAACTTATCAAGATTTAATATCTTGTGACGTTCAAACAAATCATGGGATTATATTATTTTGGTTGTGTAATCAAAAGGTCCTTCGCATCACCATTATCATTAGGTTGTTTGATTTATTAATTCTTTGGGTCAAATCCACAAATTTGAAGGAGATTTCAAGATTGTGTGATTAAGAGGTTGTTCGTTTCATATATGTTCAGTTGCTAGTTCACTTTTACGGGTCGATTCCTAAACCTTGATTATTATTTGGGCGTTCTTGGGATCCATTATCAATTCCTGCGGGTTCGATAGCAACCTTGCTAACCGGGTTCGTATCACAAACCCTTTATGTAAAGCAAGTGCAAAAAGAAATGGTTATTATTTCGCTATATGTTGATGATCTTCTAGTGACTGGCAGCAACTTTGCTTTAATTGAAAAGGTGAAATCAGAATTGAAGAAAGCATTTGATATAACAAATTTGGAGAAAATGCAATACTTTCTTGGCATAGAAATACATCAAACACAACAAGGAATCTTTGTTTGCCAAAGAAAGTATGATAAGGAAGTTTCAAGAAAGTTCAATATGGAAAATTGTAAACCAGTAAGCACTCCCCTAATTCAGAATGCAAAGTTGATGAAGGAAGATGGATGTAAAAAGATAGATGCTAGAGTTTATAGAAGTTTAGTGGGGGTGCTTGTTGTATTTATCAGTAACAAGACTAGATATTACATTTGTTACAAATATGTTGTCAAGATTCAGACAAGAGCCAAGCAAAATACACTTTCAAGCAGCAAAAAGGGTTTTGAGATACATTAAAGGGACTGAAGAGCTGGGAATTTGGTTTAGAAAGTCTGAAATTCTGAAGTTGATTGGTTTTACAGATAGTGATTGGGCTGGATCCTCCGAAGACATGAAAAGCACCTCTGGTTATGTGTTTTATGTTGGCTCAAGTGTTATTTGTTGGAATTCAATAAAGCAGAAAATTGTAGCACAGTCCACAGCAGAAGCTGAATACATTGCAACCTCAGAAGCTACAAATCAAGCACTCTGGTTGAAGAAAGTGTTATAGGATCTCAAACACAAGCACGAAGAAGCAACAATCATCTATTGTAACAACCAATTTGCAGTAGCTATGGTGAAGAATCATGTGTTTAACGGAAGAACCAAGCATATCAAGATCAAGTATCACTCGATCAGAGAACCACAAAAAGAAAAGGAAGTGGAACTTGTGAGCTGCAAATCAGAGGATCAAAATGCAGATATTCTAACCATGTCCTTACCTAAAGCAAGATTTGAAACACTTAGAAACAGTCTTGGTGTTTCCAGCAAAAGTGCCAAGGAGGAGTGTTGAAGTAAAATTGACTCTTTTGCTGTAAAAAAATATATTTATTTTTTTGTACTTTTTATCAGCTTGAAATTAGCTGAATTTAAGGATAAAAGCTGGTAGTTTTTACCAAAATATGGTCTTGCATGTTTCAAGGAAAGCTGTCAAAAAAGTTAGTTTGTATTAGGTAAAGTGTTGTTGACTATTTTTGCTAGAAACTTCTTGTAATCTCTATATACTTGAGATCTAATATATCAGCTCGTTTTTGGAGTGAACTCACTGAAAAATATACCAGCTTCCATCCTCTTTATTCAAAAATCTTTTAGTTAGACTCCATGTTCATATAAATTGAGGTTTTTAAAGTCTTCAAATTCATTTTATACCCTAAATCAGTGTTCTTTTTCATTTTTCTTTTATGGAGTTTATTTACATCTCCATGTTCACATAAATTGAGGTTTTTTTGAAGATTCGAAATTCATTTTATTGTCATCTGCATTAAGAATTTGTTTTGACATTACAATTGAATTTATTTCTTGTCTTCTTTTTAGCAGTGAGTTGCGTAATTGTAATTGGATTGTGGTTTCAGCATCGGTAAGTGCTTTAATTGGATAGCGATGTATTAGACCCGGAAAAGCAAAGAATTTCTTTCAAAATACAAAATCCATGTTAACGCATAAAAAGAAAAGTACAATGTAAAAATTTTAATAGCGTAAAAATTTTAATAGCATATTAGCATAAAATTATTTTATTTTATTGACTATTTTAATTCATTGAATAAGTCTTCATAAAATAAGTTCTACAATTTCCAAATCAAACATATTTTTTTCAGCTTTTTATTTAGGTAAACAGATCTCTACAATGACAAATCGTGGTTTTTGTAATATAAGACACTCAAAATAGAAAACTAAAAATTAAAAAGCAAACTCCTATGGAATTTAAAGCATTAATCTTCAATTTATGCTTTTTATTATTCAGCAATTTAATAAAAAATAAATTGTACAATATACATTCGATATTTATAATCTTCTGTATAATTTTTTTCACTCATAATTGATATTATAGTTATAAAGAACTTTTAACCTTTTCGGTATTTATAATCTTTTGTATATTTTTTTCACTCATAATTGATATTATAGTTATAAATAATTTTTGACTTAGAAAGTGAATTATTTACTTATCATTAAATTTTTAAGTTATAAGTAAATTTTACAGTTTTAAATAAATTTGTAATTTTAAATAATTTTTTTATATAAATGATTTTTTACTTAAATTAACTTTTTATAAGTGATTTTATTTTTTATTAATGTATTTTTACTTTATGAGTAATTTTTACACAAAAGTAATTAATGAAAATTTGTAAATTTGTAATTAATGCCAATAATGCCTATGGAATTTGAAACGGGACCCTAAGATCGGATCCCAACGCATATAAGGAGACGAAACATTTAACAGCTCTAAGAACAATTCGGCACAGAAGCTGATTCCGATCTAACATGTTCAGTGTTCTTCGTTCCTTTGCTTCGCTTAAAGGAATTAGAATATGAGAGCTCTGAGAAAACCGACGAGGAGACCCAGCCTCCTTTATCTGCTCTCTGCTGCTGCCATTTTCTCTCTCTTCTTTTGCGCCCTCCAGTCCTATTTCTCCATAGGTACTTGTTAATTATCTGCAATTGCCTCGTTAACCATACTCGCGTTTGTATATGCTTCATTGTTTCTGTATATTCAGGTAACCCTAAAATTTCTAAAATCAACGAGGAGGATGTTCGGATTTTATCTAATTTTCAGTCCAGTGTTCAACAATGCGTGGTTAGTTATTTACTTTTTTGAGTTGCTTGATCTGCTGCTTTATAATCTGGAACACGGAATTTATGCTTGCTTTTTATAGGATCTGTTTGTTTCATGAATTAATAGTATTTCGCTGCTGTTAACAAGTGGCAAATAATTGCTTTTATACTTGTATTTTGCTTCAAGGAGAACAGAGGGCTTGGACTCACTGCACACATAATTGATCATTGTAATTTGGTTCTCAAGTTCCCTCAAGGGACTAATAGCACCTGGGTTTGTCTCTTCTTTGCTTGCTCAATTTTATTCCCTTTCTTAGAGCACGTCTAGTACTTATATGCCCTTTTCATATCTTGGGTTTTATTTGCAGTACAATGAACAGTTTAAAATTTTTGAGCCATTGGAATACAAGTATGATGTTTGTGAAGCAATACTATTGTGGGAACAGGTTTGTCATTGTTATTGATATTATTCTCATTCGTCAAGGTACTTGCTTTCATATTGCATAAAATAAGCAGTGATTATCTGAAATGCAGTATCGTAACATGACTACAGTGCTGACAAGGGAGTATTTAGATGCTCGGCCTGACGGGTGGTTAAACTATGCTGCAAAAAGGATAGCACAGTTGTATGGGACAGCCTCCTCTTCTTTGAATAATTATTGTCGTTTTATACTGCAATTTCAAGTTGAATCATATTTATGTTCCCTCTTTTTATTTTTCTCCTGTTTCATTTTGATTATTATAGAGGTGCAGACAAGTGCTATAATCGCACTTTGTGTGAGAAACATCTTAATATTCTTTTACCAGCAAAGCCACCCTTCCATCCCCGCCAATTTCGAACTTGTGCCGTCGTTGGAAATTCAGGAGATCTCTTAAAGACAGAGTTTGGGAAGGAAATCGACAGTCATGATGCAGTTATAAGAGACAATGAAGCCCCTGTTAATGAGGTACATTACTTTTATGCTGGTTTTCTGTCATAGATGATTCTTGTCCTCTCTCTCTCTCTCTCTCTCTGTGTGTCTTAAGTACCTGAGTGTGTGCATGCATGTGCGCTTGCACACAGCATGGGCTCTTTGAAATTTTTTGATCGTATATTTTGTCACAGCCATTGTGATTTGACTTGCCCGCTCACATGCGCCTGCATGAGCTCTGGGATTTAAAAAGTTCTATTGTCGTTCACATGTGCACATACAAGCTCTATGATTCAAAAAGTTCTATTACTGTACAATATGTCAAGCCAATGAGATTTGATCCTTGCATACTTAGAACGTGATTAATGTTGTAAGTCAATTGTCATTTATTTGCAATCTCAGAGCGGAATGATTTTGACTTTTGGTGTGTTAAACAAAATGAAAATTTTGTTTTTGCTTCCTATGATCTGTTCTTTGTATCTTTCTTCGTTTGATACATTCTTCAAACTATTCTGCTACATGATTCTAAGTTTCTCTCTTCTTCTTTTTTCCCCTTTTTTTATTCTTTTTTCTGATTTCACAAGTTGTTTGGAATGTCCTGTAGAAATAATTAATAATTTCTTCTCTGTCCATACTTAACAGAAATATAGCAAGTATGTTGGGCTGAAGAGAGATTTTCGCCTTGTAGTGAGAGGTGCTGCACGTAACATGATTCCCATTCTCAATGGTTCAGGTAAGTTATATAAGTGTCTATTTGTCCAAAATACTTCACCTCTATTATTTTGCTATTCTTAGTTTACATTATCCTCCTCCCCATCCTCCTAGCCTGTCATGCTTTCCCACTATTCTCATATCAATTTGTCTTCATTGTATTTGGCAAGGAAACATAACCTTAGAACTAAAGGGAAGGATTATACCATAGACTAATGGGTTTGGCCTTGATATGGTATCTACTTAATTTTCTATATTATTTACTAAAACTACTGATCTTGTCATCGCATATTTTGGTTTCCATCATGGCCTTTTTAGAAGATTGGTTGGTGAGAGATTCTAGCTACCCTGATCAAAATATAATTCAAACTTCATGTCAACTAGTCTTAGTGATGAGTAGTCCTCTTTAAGGGCAAAGAGAAGAAGGCAATGAAAGGAAATTTTGCAGCAACGTGATATGAGAGAGTCAGCTGTGCTTACTTTCTTATTTCTTTTCCTGCAGATGATGAGGTGCTTATAATCAAAAGTCTTACGCATAGAGACTTTAATGCAATGATAAAGGTAATTATTACATGGATCATAAGCATGATTAATGTTTTCTCTGAATGATCAATTATCAAGATGAGATTCTTGGAGGGAATGAGTCATTGCAGTAGCATTAGTTTCTATGTTCTTCTAAACAATTTATAAGACCGTAAAATGAATGAAGCTTGCCTCTCCCATCCACTTTGATTTTGTACATATAAGTTTCTCCCTTTCTTTGGTTGGGGGTCGCAGTTGGGGTTGGCATTGATCTATTACATGAAGTCTTACGTTGAGACAATACTCAAAGCAAATGAAATTCTTAAGATGTAGATAACACAAGTAATTTTTCTTGGACCTGTATGGAATGGAACTCCATACTTGACAGAATTTAGATGTGATGAGCTCATACTTTTTCATTTGCTTGCTTCGTAACAGATAAAATATTCAATGAAATTGCCAATAATGATTTCAGAATATGATAAACTGTTCTTGTTATTGAGATTTTGATCCAGTTAAAATCCATGTGATGGAGCCTTTTGACATGCTAAAATATTTGTTCAAGTGGATAACGAGGGAGAACAAGAGAAACAACCTGGCATTCTACATGATTTAGAAAATGTGTAAGGCTGATTTTTTGTGCATTAAATAAGAAGCTTGGTTCTTAATAAAGAAAAAAGTATTTTTGGAATCAATAGTAACCGTTTGAGTTTCAATTAGAAGCTGAGATTTTTGGTGCATTAAATATGTCTTGAATTATAGGATTACAATTTATTATGTGCTTGATGCAGAGGATCCCAAATCCAGTGTATCTCTTCCAAGGTATTGTGCTTCGCAGAGGTGCCAAAGGAACTGGAATGAAATCAATAGAACTAGCACTTTCCATGTGTGAAGTTGTTGATATATATGGTTTCACTGTTGATCCAGGATACACAGAGTGGTCAGTCTAACCTTAACTATATGATTTGCATACACGATTTCAAAACTGTAGTTTACTAATTATTGTTCTGGTGTTGATGGAACTCTTATCTATTTTATGGCACTAACTAATGAAGTTTGCACGTGTTTAAATTTTACATATGTAGGACCAGATACTTCTCAACACCAAGGAAAGGACACAATCCACTTCAAGGACGAGCTTACTACCAGCTTTTAGAATGCCTTGGTGTAAGGATATTACTTTGTTCCTGAACATAGTTCTCTTGTGAATAGAAGACCAAAGAGCTTTTTGGAATATTTATACATTTTGTTCAATATCCAAAATTCCAGGTTATTAGGATCCATTCTCCCATGCGAGCTGAAAGGAAGCAGGACTGGTCAGATGTGCCTACTCGAGAAATGATAAGCAGAGCTCATGCAGCTGCTGTGCGCGTGAAGAAGAATCAAACTGGTGAAGACGGTGACTTGGGTCAATTCCATAACTGTAAAGTGTGGGGTAATGCTCATGGAAGCGGGCCTACCTCTGGATCTCCAGATATGAGCGATGTCAGGAGGAATTCAAATTACAGTAAATGGGAAGTCATGCCTTTCGAAAAATTAAGAAAAGCAGCTCGTGAGCATTTTATTCAGATGGAAGGTGTTTCTATGTACAAAATGGATGGCAATAAATTGGATGATCTAGTTTGTGTGAGGCATTCCTCAAAATCCGAGGCGTAAGCAGAATATTGATGGAGGCTTTCTTGTACTGTGACGTAGTGACAATCGAAAGCAGAACCAATTAAATTTTGTTCGTTGTGAAAATTACAATGATAGAGACCCAGCAGGATGTGGATTCTCACAATGTTTTTGCCAGATCGCCTCTCTGTTTCTCCGTTCGATCAGAGGGCCATTCTAATTTGATGCTGTGCCTTTTCAGGATTGGTACTGAAGGACAGACTATATTCAAGAAAATTCATGGATGCTTTTGATCGTAAATTCTTCTGTTTAAAACTGTATGAGTTCACATTAGGGTTTTATTTTATTGATAGTTGCGAGTATGAGAGCCAAGAGATTGAGGAAATGAGTAAGGAATTGATTTCAGGATCACCATATACCCTTTGATTATGTTTATGAATTCACTGTTCTGTAATAAAAAATTGTAAATTACTGATAAGAGCTACAACTGTGTTGAGCCAACTACAAGAAGACTGTGCGAGACGGAAAAGGGAAAATAAAGTTTCGATTTGTATGATGGGTATCATTGTCTAGCTGCTCTTGCACCTGGTGAATCAAAGTGTCCAAGTCTACCAAATCATGTTCTTCAATAAATCAAAGCAACCGAAACGACTATAGCTCCACATTCTCCGTTTATTTGAATTTATCACAATGCCTGCCTACTCTTATATCTTCTTCTTTTAATATATTTAGGAGTCGTCCCTGCGAAACAAATGGCTAATGTATCCTGAAGTGAAGCTCAAACGTGGTAATTGAGAGGACTATCAAAGAAAGTAAGAACCCAAAAGCAGTTGCATCAAGTTCTAGTTGCTAATTCACAAGGCCAGGCAGGCCTGTGTTTAACCTTGTATGTTTGTTACTGCAGTGTTTTTCTACACGAACCGGAAGACAGTTGCAACTCTTAGCAGTCATTTACAATTTTTTACGCAAATACATGTGGCAAGTAATGTGTCAGTGAATTTCAGGAATATTTTACAATGCAAAATGGAAACAAATAAGTGAATAACTTCTCGTGTTGTGTGCAGAAATCCATCCCTAGCACCTCATTCACTACATTCACCCTCATAAAAATGTTACGCCCACAATCAAGAATCACCTCATACTCAATTTCCAGTCATTACATATTGCTTTCTTTGATGAACTGGAAAGACACCAAAATACACGATGATTGATAATTAAACAAGATTTTCTCTTCTTAATCTCAATCTCACCTACCTATAAATAAAGGATGCATTGATTCGATTGTCATGAGATAAAAACCAAAAACCCACCCAACGAGTATCAATAGAAAACAACATATTCTCACAAAAATTTTAAAGCAAAACAATTTAATCGTAATTCAGTGAATAAAATCGACCAAGATTCCACAGATTCTCATTATGACAAAACGAAACAAAACTGTTAATTTCAATCCTTTTTAGTTTTCTTACTGCCACCAAGAACATCATCGGGTACGACCTTGAGGAGCTTGCGTTGCTTGGACTTGGCGATCTTCTTAAGAGTCTTGGGATTTGTAATTTTCTGAAGCTTAGTCCCTGACCTGAGTATGTTCTCCTGTTTTTTCTTCTCACGCTCCTCTTTCTGTTTCCGCTTCTCCTGTTTGTTCCGCCGTATTTCCTCCTTCAGCTCGTTCATTCTCTCCACGTACGCTTTCTTTATCTCCTTCTCCTTCGCTCTCTGCTCAAATGTCGTTCCTTTTTTGCTCACCTGCACCGCAGACGACCGCCGCGTCCTTGCCTGCTTCCACTTGCGGCCGGACAACTTTCCCGCTATCACCCCGTCGTATGTCGGCTTTCCGAAGGACGAAGCGGACGGCTTGTTGGGATCATCAGAAGAAGGAACTGCCTGTCTCTTCGACGGAGGTGGATTCCCGTTGTCGACGTCCATGCCGTCATGCTCAGGAGAGGGATTCAATAATTTTAGCTTATCGGCTTCTTGTTCGGCTCTCTTTCGCTTGAAGGTCTTGCCGCCAAATCCCTCGTCTAGGGACCTAAAATCAATCGTGCACGCCATTGTAAACACGGACAAATTTCTAGGGTTTCCAGTATTTGGGAAGAAGGGGCTGTGTTGGTGGTAATAGAAAGAATGTATATATATATGGAACGCAGAAAATGGGTAAATCACTTGATGGGCTTGGGTTAATTAAATTAGGCTTTACCATCTAACTAGTTGTTGGGCCTAGATCACATTTTTAGGTTTAAATAATTTCAAAATTACAAATGATTCAAAATATAATTTTAAAATAAAAATCTTGTGAAAAAAATTTAAAAAATCAGGTGATCATAATTTTCTGACATCTGATAAAATCTTGTGATCTATAATTTAATTAAATATGTCAAAATTATATACTAATCATAAAGACACAATTTGTGGATCACAATTACATATCTAATTATAAATAACATTTGTTATAGGTTACGAATTATTTATTTATCACAATTTGCCTAATTAATTGTCAAAATTACTCTTCACCTCACCCTTCTCCACTGCTATCGACATCAGCTAAGCCCCCATTTGGCCCCATTTTGTGAAAAATAAAATGGGTGAAATAGTAGTTTTTTTTTAATCAGTGGTTAAGAAAGAAAGAGAAGTTTTCGATTTATGTATAATATTATTTTATGGAAGATTGTGTGGTTGAAATTAGAAAAAAGAAAAATTAAATGTAATGAAATGAAATAAAAATTAATAGGGGCCAAACGAGGGCTAAATCTCACCACCACATCAAATTCACAATCCACCACCATCACCACCACTTCTTTCACTTCAAATCCACCACCACCACCACCACTTTAACCTCAAGTTCACCTAGACGTGCACAACCAAAAGCAAGATGTTGGTTTGTTACAAAATCTAATGTTTATCTCGTCGATTGACGTGAACCGGTGGAGTTCTATTACTAACTACATGGGGGCACCGCACCACTATTTCTTCTTCTACCGCTACCATTTCTATCAGCTACTACCACGCTTATATCGCCATCGAACCCATTACTTGTATGAAATTGTGGCTCCACCCCCTCTTTGAAATTCTATCATTTTACAATTTTTAGGGTGTTACAGATGTGATTCATTCATTTGCATAACACATAGATTGCAGGTGTTGTTGACCTCGGAAATTGGACCCTCCACGTGGCCAACCGATAGTCACTCCACGTATTCCTCTCTGCACACAATAACGAACGGTCAGAAGCACACGATCGGAACCAACGGAGGTGGTGGCGGCCGCATACACTCCAACGATCAAGTTAGCGATCGGAATAGTGCTTGAATCATGCAAGAGAGTGGGGAGGAGGTGCTAAGTAGTAAGAGTGTCATTACATTTACCTCTTGCCAAGCCTTGAGTATTTATAGGTGAGAAGAACTGTTGGATGTGAGATACGTGTATACATTTGATAGTATGAGGCATCTACTCATAGGCATCAATCGACTGCATCTATAGAGTGGGCGGGTAATTACTTCTCCCGAATTGAGTTGACATAAAGTTGATACGTCACATCAACTAATCTCATGGAGATGTCAAATCACTTTAAACCTTAGGGGTAGAAAAGATCTTGAAAAAGATCTCATTCTGAAATTGGCGATGAATCCTCTGACAAAGGTCCCCGGAGTGCATTTCGCCTCGGATTCAAGGGCGAGGGCACTTCGGTTAGTCCCGAAGAATTACCTATGTCTCGTAGTGTGATAGCAGATCGTCACCATTGGTGAAATCATTTCGGAACCACTTCGGATGAGTGTTCCACACCTCGCATGATGTGGTGGTGAACTTTCTGAACCACTTCGGATGAGTGCTTCACACCTCACATGATGTGGTGGTGACTTTTCGAAGTGGTTCAGATAGGAGCGTAACATGTGTGATTATGGTTGGAGTTGTGGTAGGGTTTGAGTAAAATTGATGGTTAGAATCGAGCATTGAGGAAGGGAAGAACGATAAAGATCAAATTATTAGTACCTTTACATTTGATCTAAGATCAAAGTATTAGTACCTTTACATTTGATATAAGAAAGCCTGATATTTGACATTTATTTGAAGATTGGATCTTAGGGTCTCGTCTTGGTTTTTCTTTGAAGTTCGGCTCTTAAGCTCTTGTCTTGAATGTTTGGATGACTTGATGACTTCAATCTTGACCTTCATTGTGAGTTCAATTTGATAGTCTTGATTTTGATCTTTTGACGATGATCGATCAATTAATCATTGAATGCTTCAACGACTATAATCGCTAAAAAAATTAATTGTTATAAATATTAACTTGTTTGTTATGATCAAAACTATAAGGTTATAGTCAAAGATAAATCAACACTAAGGCAGCATCCTCGTATAGAGATATGAAGGATTCAAGTGCTCACAATAGAAATTTCAACACACTCTTTATTGATATCTTGAATACACTTTTATACAAAGCTGTTAAGTCTATTTTAAGAAATATACAGAGGTTACAGATTCCACCTAATTAAAGGTACAGCAATGCATCAGTTACAGATCAGAGAATTCATCCATGATTTTTGCAGATCAGAAAATTCATCCTTGATTTATGGCTTTGTTGTTGCCGCATAATCATTCCAGATTTATTGTGGTTTTGACTTTTATTTTGCATTTGTGTCACCTTCCTTAATACCTTGTATTGGACATTTATATAAGCTTTTCCTACGGAAGTTGGAAATGATATGTAAAACTGGCTAATGGATAACTAATATATTCATTTTGTTTCAAAGCAGATTCTCCTAATATCCGATCGTAAGCTGATCTACTATCAATAATCAGAAAATTCATGCATCCATGGTATACTCGAGGTTTCTCGCCTAGTTTTACTGCTAGAGTAGTCTGTCCGAGGCATAGGATTTGGCCATCTATCAGCATAGTTTTGCATTTGATCAAAATAATCGTCAGATTTTCGCAATCCACAAGCATGCAATTAAAGCTATTCCCAGCTATTATGGCTCGCATGATCTGAACATCACAATGAGGACATGTGATTTCATTCTTATTATCAATAAATTGAATTAAAGGAGATTTAAGTTTTGAGTTACCTTGAAACCAGTGATTTCGCAAGGCTGAATTACTACCAGCTTGCTTACTAATCCTTGGTGATTTTGCTGTCCTCTTTTTAGTGTGAGACGTTGAACTCTTCTCGTTCTCTCTGTGGATTACTACCATCATCTTTATGAAAATCAGCAAAGAGTTCTACCTAAATTTCAATGCCTCTATTTTGATGAGACCTGCTTTTGCATGACTCATTTTTTAACAGTTTTTACAGTGGTTTTAACTCAAGAAGTACTAGATTGTCTACCTTTGTTCTGTTTCCCACATTTGACGCCCATTTATTGACCTTGAAATTGTAATGAGCTAATTCCTCTCATCGAGTCAAGGTTTTCTCCTCATAAAGTGACACATTTAATGCTCAAGTAAGAGCAAGAAGAGAAATAACCATATGAAAGTAGGATATTCAAATTTTCGTGCCTTTCCTTGTTCCTGGCTATACCTACTTATAGATTTCTAATTAGGGCATGTAGGTAATTAGACCCTTTCGTTAATAACATTTAGCAGTCTTTGACTAGTCAAACTTCAACTGAATCCATTGGCTTTTCACGTTTTTATTCACATGTGCTTTTGATAACGATTTCTACTGATATGGAGTGGGTGATGAAATCAATCTAAGTATTTTTACTCGCAGCTTACCGTCAAGGTTGATTATAATGCAAATGCTCGCTTACGTTATGGTTTGGTTAGCTTTGTAAATATTTGCTTGGTAGAGGCAAGGACTCATCGTTAATCCTTTGTGAACATTAATTGATAACCCAAAGTATATATTCAACAAAGTAGTTGCACAGTTTCATCAAATACATTGCTATTGGTACCTACCCACGATTAAATTTTCTGAAAACAAGAACATCTACTACTTGTTTAAATATGAATCAGAGAGCAACAACTATTGTGGATAAAATTTATGTTAATTTCCAATCATCCATCTTCATATCGAATCATTTCCAGATTCAGGTCCTGATACAAGCCCTAATATATCACTCTCAAAGAAAGCAGAGTGAAAGGCCCTAACACATTGTTCAGCTTCGCTGTCATTTACTATCAATGAAATGTTGACTTTTGAAGCACCTTGAGAGATCATCTGAACATTGACTCCATTCGTACGAAGCACATGAAATGCCTGCCACGTAAAAATTGGTAGTTTTGAAAATCAACAGAAGACTAAACATCAGCAACAAAGAACGTAGAGGAGCGCAAAATAATTGCTCGAAATTTATTATAAAAGCAATATTAATGGACTCAGGAGCATTAAACCAAAAAGATAACTATGCTAAAATGTAATGGGCTTTCGCAATAAACATGCTGTGGTTATAGCAGCACCTTTTCTAGTATCAGCGACGACCTCTGAACATTTCCTATGAGAGAGATGATTGATCGGCGCTGTAGAAGTTTCACAACTGCAATTTTTTCGAGTTCTTCCACAACATGATCTAGTTCCTGCTCAACAAGTGAGAACTAGGTAAGGACTTATCTAGTGAAGCAAAGGAAATAATCCTGCCCACGGCTAAAACTCAACATGAAATTGAAACCATAAATTGATGGGATGTTTTTTTAGCTTATAATACATATCTTTGATAATAAAAAGAAGCCCTGCCCGATTTCATATGCTTGCCTGCTGGATCAGTTCTCTGCTCCAAAGCTTGGACGGATCCAATGTCAAGGAAACACTAACTTCACTCGTGGCAACAACATCCACAGATATTTCCAATTCTTCAAAGATTGAAAACACCTGAAGAGAGACATCATATTGGCAATTTCATTTGAGATTCAAAATACTTGACAAACCTGGCAAGATCAAGCAGCAAGTGCTGCCTTCACCTTAGCAAGAAACCCAAATTGACCAAGCATTCGGGTGCTGACAATATCCAACATTGTTACATTTTGTTTCAAGACGATGCTAGTAAGTACTGCCTGTAAATGAAAAAGAATAGATGTAAGCCTTTTGACCATTCTATTGACCATGTTTTGTTTGTTAACATTATGATGCTTCTAACCTGACTCATATCTCTTGCTCGAGTAATCAGGGTTCCGGGAGCTTTCGGATTGTATGAGTTCTTAACTCGAACAGGAATATCACCCTCCCTAGCAGGTCTCATCGACTGTGGATGGAGGACCTTTAAATCCAAAGAAACAGATGTATGGCGTAGGCATGTTAGACCCAGAAGAAATAGGGGCACCATTCGACAAGTAACTCTCTATTATATGTTGAAGCCTGACAATGTAGCTACGTTATACAGTGCATATAGATTGTGTGGTACCTGAGCACCAAAGTAAGCAAGTTCAGCTGCCTCATCAAAGGTTAAATATGGCACTGGCTCTGCGCGTGAATATATATTGGGGTCACATGTCAAAACACCATCAACATCTTTCCACACCTGTAAAGGGCAAAACAGCGATGGGAGAGGTTATATATTTTATGCATGTAATTGTATACTACAGAATAGTTCCATGCAGATTAGATAGTAATGCTATTTTTTCCTCAAAGCAAGACCACATAATTTTTGAAAATCACTTGCCTGAATTTCTCCTAACCCCAATGCTTTACCAATAGTAGTGGCAGTCAAATCACTCCCACCCCTACCCAATGTAGTCACAGCACCAGTTCTCCAACCCTACAATGAAATGTCCATTCTGATTTTTTATCTCCAGATCATAGAAATTTGTGTACAAGTACGGTAATCCAGTAAATGTAAACGGGAATCATAATGGAAGCAACCTTTCCAAGGAAGCCAGTCACAATAGGAATTGCAGGATCCTTAATCCAATCACCATGCAATCTCTTTGCAACAGCTGGATAAGTTGCTTCTAATATTTCGGCATTTGTAAATTCATCGGTTGTTATAAAACCAATATCAAAGGCATCATACTGTAAATAAGATGTGAGTTATTAATTTATCCAAATCATGTGACAGAAACAAGGTAAAAGAATTACTTTATTGAGCAGGCAGCACAAAAGAAAAGGTTTATGTGATTGAAAACTATAAGAAAATCCTTATCCAATAATAGCAAATAAAATTAAAAGAAATCCTTCTCATTAAGTGAGATAGACATGTTTGTAATATAAATATGATGCCACAAGATCTGACAGGCTTGGAGAAGTGCCGGCACATTCTAGTTGCTAACTAATGCAGTGCATGACACACTGGGACTGGGATACAGCCTAGGATGCACAGACACTTCTCCAAGGTGGGGAATGTAAGTTGTCGCATGTGGCAGACACAAACATAACTCCAACAAGTGGTTGAATTGGAAAACACGTAAAATTTAATACAGATCGAACATGGACGTAATCATCCAATACTAAAGGATAATAGTTGTAATTTTTGAAAAATCATCCTGTAAAGAAGATTAAAAGAATTTACAGTAACTAATGTATAGGAGGGGTATGTTTTTACTAATTACCATTTTACAGTAACTATTGAATGGGAGGGGTGTTTTTATTAATGCGGCAAAAGAAAAAATAAATAAATAAATAAATGTCATTATGTACATATTTGTATTATTTTAGTTCTTAATTAATTGTCCACGTGCTACTTTACTTTCTGGTTGCATCAACTTGGATATAATTACGTTATTAATCTATTTGCTCGAAATTCAACTCATAAGTGTCTCACTTGCTAACCTTAAAACACAGGTGCATGCATTCATGTCTATAGCACATGGAATAACAGAGAAAAGATATGAGAATGTGAAGTGAAAATAATGTTTTACAAGTAGCTTATAGGTTTTCACAAAGCATTTGAGTTAAATTGATTAAAAAAAATTTAATTTATCTTCTCTAATCACTTTTCCATTTTTGGCACAATAGTGATTGGAGGCAAGTGAGGTTCTACGAAGTGGCCCTAAGCCAATGCTTGATCGGCTAAAAGCCAAAAAGCAGTCAATCCTTTTTTGTTCCACATAGGAATTTATCTGCACTCAAATGATTAAATAATTTTTAGTTACATTGTAATTTTGAGGCACCAACGGAGATAATCCATAATAATAGCACCACTGTCTCATAACAAGTTCTTGTACCTATATTACTGTAAATTATAAGTGTAGCAAAGACTGCTCAATCTGAAAATACAAGACAAACAAAGACCTCAAGGCCTGTGAATCACTGAGAAAACGAATCACTGGTTTATTAGATCAAAAGCAAGGAACTTACAGAACTTGTTACAAGGGCTAAGTTTTAGATAGTTGACAAAGAAGAAGCATACTTGGCGAGCTTTGACATCAATTTTATTCAAATAGGCAGCAAAAATTCGTGTGGACATGCACTCTCCAAAAGAGGCTAAGTAGTCTTTTGTTCTTGGAGTGAGCTCTTTCATCATAGCAATTCCGTTCAGAAGTTGCTCCAACTGAAATAGGTGTTCTGCAAAATGTCAACCACAAGCAAAAAGGCAATCAAAAGAGTTAAGATAAGATACATTACATTATCACCATTTTAAATGAAAACTATAAACAAATGCTATTGTTACAAATGAATTTGACACAAATGAATTTGACGAACAACAGAAATTACAGTCCTTACTTCAGGAAAGATTACTTGCCCTGCAAAATTAGTGAATATGAAGACTTGCATTGCAATATATCAAATGAACAAAATAACCTACTCATATGCATAAAAAAAA